CCCCCCGCCCCTCCCCCCTTGAGTGCATTTTCTAACTACGTTTTGAACATAAGAAATGAGATCCGGCGTGAGCCGGCCGGCCAAGCGGCTCAACTGATTTTACAGAGAAAAGAACCTCATTGTGCAGTTTCGATAACATGCTTTGATTTCTCAGCTGTCATACTATCGCACACATTCCCTTCAATTTGCAGTTATTAAACTAAGTTATTTTTGCAATGTGTAAAAAATGTGGACATCAGTAGGAATTCGGATCCACAAGATGAAAAAATTGTAAGAAATGAGACATTGACAGCTTATGAAGCATACGGCTCAAGTGCTCAAAATGTTTTGACTAGTGTACTAGTTCTAGTGTTTGTTCGAATAACACTCATTGACGTGTCATTTAATGCAAAGATACGAGTTGATAAATTTATGTTACACTTCTCTACGCTTGACAGTTAAAAGCACCGAGTAACACTATAACAATTGGATCGATGACAGTTGATTCAAAATACTTTACAATATTTCAATAGGCGTCTTCTCGAATAATAAAATCTTTGCTTGTATAATCTATTGGACAATGACTATTTGATTGAATGAAGAGCTATCACTATGAGAGAGACCTCAATATCTATACTCCGAGCGAGTGCCACTTTTCCCGATGTACCCTGCATCCCCATAAAGCCTGTACGAATGATTCGGTGGAGAAGTGTGCATTTGTTTGAGACGGGGGGCTTCCACAGAACCCATGGTATTCTGAATAATCAATCTGTAATTGTTTACAACATCAGACTTATTTACAGCACTTACCTGTACTCGCTGCTGTTGTTCTGGCGGCTTGGTGGGAACACTCTGAAATCGGAACTTCAAACTTATCAGTGGTTATCACATGACAAGAACGAAGTGAACTGCCTCCCCCACCTCTGAAGAATATTGAGACTTTGGACGATACAGCTGTGATGTAGGCTGAGGCTTTCCTATCATACCTTGACGACCGGCATCCTGTATTTGAGTCTTAGCCGGTGGTAGAGCAGGTCTATCCATTACACCGTAGGCTTCGTCCACCATTGGATAAACTTTGGATTTCTTATCTGCCAAATTATCAAGTGACATAGGGCGGTCAACTATACCGTAAGCTTTAGACGCAACTGGTTTCCTNNNNGCACTCGGTGGTTTTTCCGGCAGTTTCTCACGTGACATAGGGCGGTCAGCTATACCGTAGGCTTTAGGTGCAACCGGTTTCCTTACACTCGGTGGTTTTTCGGGCAATTTCTCACGTGACATAGGGCGGTCAGCTATACCGTAGGCTTGAGGCGCAACTGGTTTCCCTGCACTTGGTGGTTTTTCCGGCAAACTCTCACGTGACATGGGGCGGTCAACTACACCATAAGCTTGAGACGCAACTGGTTTTCTTGCACTCGGTGTCATTTTAACCGGTCGATCTATAACACCGTAAGCTAGTGGTTGTTTGCCCTCATCAGGGATGCCTTTTGCTGCACTTGCCGGAGTGTCTTGCGGTGGTTTACGTATAGACAGTTTCTTGTTCTGCGGACTAGCCGGAATGTCTTGTAAAATGTCGGGATGGACCGTGGCCGGGATGTCTGAAAGGAAGTCGTTTTGAAGTGAAGGTGGCCGAGCAACCGATACAATAATGTGCTCTGCTTCGCCGGGTTTATTTGCAGGAACTGCTACTTCTTCCGGTTTTGGCTTCATTCTTTCCGCTGACGTCAGCCAGTAATCAATTACTTCTGATCCAGAATCCTCCTCTCCTTTCTTTCCTTCTTTACGGTCATCCTTAGATTCGGCTTTTCCTTTTTTCTTTCTTTTTTGATCTTCACCTGCGATTTTTTTCTGTTCATCTTCCAACTTCTTCGCCATCCGCTCTTTGGAACCAGGTTTGGAACCAGGAACTAACGCTGGTGTGTTAACTGCAGTTTCTTTGATTTTCCCTTCATCTAAGTGGCTAGATTTTTCTTTCGAAAGATTTGGAAGATTTGTATCCACGGATGGCTTGGGTTTATCGCCTGATGATAAAGCTGCCGGTCTGTCACCAGTCTGAACACACAAAGTTGGTTCGGTGCGATAGTTGACTGACAGTCTCAAAGGTGTTACAGGCTTAGCGATACTTTATTCTTGGTTTCACTGCTCTTATAAAATCAGACTTTTAGAAAGTTTTGGTGATCACTTTGTGCAGGCCATTGCTAGGATACCTAAAGGCACAGGTCAGAGTTTCTCCCTAGGATTAACCTGTGCCCCCCCCCCCCCCCATCGATTGCCTAAGTGACGCTGTCAGAAAGGCTTCTGTCTACGCCCGCTAGCTTTTACCACCACATATTGGCCGTTTTTTAACAGAAAAAAATGTTTAAATGCCGTCTTTCTGATGTCCGGCATCCCCACTTGCCTTGGCGTCTAAACAAGCGTTACATGGCAGTTGAAAGCGGAACAACACGCGTGTGTTTTTTATAGGTACCTACTCGGGTCTAGGTCTTACGCCCGAGGCTCGCATCTAAAGCAAAGAGGCAATTTAATAGGCCCGCCTCGGAATAGCCTGGGCTGGTTGCTTTGCACAGACTGATCCCTCCTCTGTCATCTTCAGCAGCAGCGCTTGAGCTCTACAGCGAGTGTTCATATCTAGAGTCATGCAGTATCTCCACTTGGCGACTGCTGAGCGCCACTTGCCCCACAGAGGCTACATACGGTCATTCTTACTATCCTTTCTGCCGCAACTTCGCGCTGGTGGAGGCTTTCCGTAAGTTTTTCTCAAGCCGTCCAATAGTCTTTTATGTGTGTGTGTGTGGCTGCCTTTGCCTAAGCCTAAGCTTTGCTTGAGCCTCCTTTCCTTTACCTTATTTTTTGTTTCCTTTATTTGTGCTTTTCTGTTCTTCTTCCTCTTTTTACATTTCAACGCTGTCCATTTTCATGTTTTTATTTCTACGAAGTGCATCTTGAGCACAAGTATCAGATAAATCAAATAGATATTTATGGCAAAAAATGTATAGGGGGGGGGGGGGGGGAGGGGCAGTAAGGAATGAGCGCTTCCAGATCATCTCTCGCATGACTTGCTTTTACGAAACAGTATATTTCATAACAAACGTACTTTTTCGATTAAGGCTTCGTCAACAACAACTTGTGTACGATCTTCTTGGACTTCTGAACGCCGCGTTTTGGAGCTTTTACTGCGGCGGCATGATGAGCATAAACCCATCCCGGAATGTTGCCTAGAAAATATGTCGAATCCATGGAATCGCTTGGCCCACGCATCCTCGCATCGGTACGATTGCTTGAGTTATTATGGAGAATTTAAGACAGTAATAGGATCCGTGTCATTCAATCAATTTGAGAAACATCCAACGTTAGTGATTTCCCCCAATGAAAGAAGAAATGGGCGGGTATGCTCAATGGTTGATGTATTTGTGTGTTTGTTTGCCCCTCTCCTTGATCCCAGCAAGTGATAGACAGAACCCACATCAAACTCAGAGTGTGAAGCTAGATTCGTATGGCAATGGAGAGAGCACTAACTCATATTAAATCTTATTATTTATGTGCCATTTGCGCTACGTCGCAGTGATGCTGATTATTCGATAGTGATTGGTATCGATTTATAATCTCATTGACCAGCTATTTGGGATTCAGCTTTTCTCTGCACCAGATAGCTTAATTGTTAAGGAGTGCATTTGTTAAGAAGACAGCACAGATGGACAGTATTAATCAATACTAGCGGAAATCCATTCACCACTTCCACACCAATCGATACTAAAAATGCCCATCTGCAGTCTGCCATTCATTCACCACTGCCAGCTATGACATAGAGGCATCGGTATATGATTACTCTTTCAGTCATCACGGGACATTTGCCAGTCTGGCTACTGAGCTCACAACCAGTCAGTGCTTATCCTCTTTCTTTGCCCTATTTTTTCCCCGAACACGCCCGCTGCAAGTTCGATATTCTGACACTTTGTCGTCACGCTCTTCTATGGACGGCATATAGGAGCTTTGGCGAGATCCATCTTCATCACCTCGCAGCTCTTCTCTGGACCTCCTCATAGTCTTCGAAGAAGAGGTAGCATAAGGTGTTCCAGGAGGCTTCCCTTGAGTCCCTAACTTTTTCGCCTATGGACGGTTTGTCAATTTATTCTGTGCCCGTACACCCGCGTCTAACCCTCCAGGGCCTCCTCAAAATGCACCGTCGCGTCTTCAACAGCCTTCACTATTGCGATGTCTTGAGTATTCCGATGCCGGGCTTTGACCAGGAAGAAGAATTTCTCTCCTACTACTAGACCGGCGAGCTTTTCGCACAAGGCATCCACTTCTGCGTTCTTTGCCTTAGCAGCCTTGGCGAGCTGCTTGCAACTTCTGCAGGCAGGCAGATCTGGAGCTCTCTTTTTCATCTGCAACTGAAGCTTTTTCTACCTCAGAACTTCACCGCTTCATCGTTACAGGTTCACGCTGCCTTCCTCTGGATCCACTTCGAGTCTTTCCCAGCATTTTTTTCGTCGTGGAGTGACGTTGCTTCAGGTCTGCTAGATCGGATCTTAGTAATCTGGAGTTCCAGGTTCGGGTAACCTCCATTTGAGATATCGTTATTCGACTCGGTGCTCCTTTTCCAGTATCAACCACTCCGTTCCTATCTTCATTTCTCAGGAAGCTCGACGGCCATGTCCGCTAGCAAAAAACTATGCTGCAGAGTCAGTTTTTTGCCGGGCAGTACCTTTATATCCTTTACAGTTTCGGAGGGCGATCTTATTGCGAGTTTATGATAGACTTCGGCTTGTCTTCGAACACAAATTGTCTGACTGTGGATTTTACGCGTCTGTAAGGGGTAATCTCTTATAGAAAACAGCGTGTTGTCATATTGCTCGTTGTAAACAATCCGTCAGATAAGTACTATTTATCAAAGTGAGTATCAAAGTGAGGATCTTGTCTCAGATCATCACTGAGCCTCTCATTGAAGATCTCTGGTCGGTTGGTGCATGACTAGGGTAAATCGCCCCGTTTCGGCTGCGCTGGGTCGAATTACACCTTCTATATATTCCAGCTGTATCCAATGCATACGTGTGTGGAGAGTCTGTGGTTGGTATGCTACATATTGACCCAGCCAAAGACTTACATTCCTATGACCTGCAAGTCATTCATGACAACTCGGTGTGGCCTCCACTAACCAACCCCGTTGTCTACTCTGTGATGAGTGACCACCTACCAGGGGCCTACGCAATTTCCCACATCAGAGTCTGTTGAGCTACTCATGTCTACCCACATGCTGATTACAGAAATATAAATGGCCTCATTCCTCTGAGCCTAAGGGAACAACACGGCAGCGTTAGGAAAGAGCGCTCAGAAAATTCGGCTCGAATCTCAGAACCATGATAGGCTACTCAACTAGGAAGATCTAAGATGATGCTCTGTACTTTCGATGGATGAGCGCTTACAAGGGTACCGGAGATATTATTACGCAAGCTTGAAAAGTCAGGGACGACTTCAGTGACGATTACGGAAAAGCTTCACGACGTTTCAAGAGACAGGAAAAGAACTGTTCTTCGAAATTTGCGACAGTAGAGGATTGTCGCCGAGGATTCGAGTGATCACAAAATATTTCAAGCTGAAACCGAGCTAACCTACCTCGCCAACTGATGGCTTGCACGCAGTAATAAATGCATCGAGTGGTTCTTACCAATGCCACCAACAAATGTTAGCTATTATATCAGTGATAAAACGGACACTGCCTGCCATCATTTCCACCTCCCCAGATACACACCATTTATGCGAATTTAGCCCGTTGACCGGCTGAACACTTTCCGTTGCTCGTTGCAAAGGAAAGAGGGGTATACTGAAGACCTGATGCAGTCCATAAGGGTTGTTAACTGTGTCGTTAGACTGGCCTAGACGAAAACGAATAGTTCTACCATACATCGTTCACTGAAATCGAGAACTACTCCTTGGAACATGCGGCACCAGAGTTGGGTGCTCTCATCAATAAGCACCTGACCACGACCATCAAATCGTCAACACTAAAAGTCTGACGCTGAATTTGAGAATATTTTGCTCGACCTCAGCGTTAACAGTCTTCGCCCCTACGCTCCAGCATCATGTAATAAAGCAGAATGAGTTGGAGGCCCTTCATGTGGACGTCAGAAAGTTATCATGGTCGGGATTAAATTAATATCATCAACTTATCGCAACGCTCACCATGATTGATGTCGCTGTTAATGCGAAGTTTTACACGAGGTCCTTCCACGATAGCGCTAGAGACAGTCCAAAAAGGAAAAGAAAGTCTTTTTTCAGCAACAATCAAACTTTGAGCTCAAAAGTTTAAGAGCGATTCGTTAGGTGAAGAAAGACAAAACGAAGAGCCACCCACTGTGCAGACGGCGCTAAAATTTCCCTACGTCTACAACTTGCTCATCTTTTTAAAGACATCAGGAAGTCAGCGATTTGCTTTCTGTGATTTGCGAGTTATAACTACGATTAAGGCTGTTCTTCTTCCCATCACTCGCGAACATATTTCGGAGCGGAAGTCAGATGTTAATAGGATCTCAGTCCAGTTGCTTCTAGTAGTAGCAGAGAGTATTAGGCAGTCAATGTGTCACGTGCTGTGCGATTCACTCAACTTCCTTTGCTCGTTGGTTCCTCTTGTCAGAATTATGCCTTTCGATTGTAGCTCTAAAAAGTCCAAAGCCTTCATCAGAGAACGAGCATATATGCAGTACAAAGACGGGTAGTTGTTTGATTTTCTTTTAGCACATTTTTCATCCATTTTATTTCTGTCATGTCCCTTTTCCTTGATACAGCGTCGCCGTGCTCGAAGGATGACTAGCTGAGCCAGAAAGTCTGCTTGAGTGAAAACAGCTTTAGTAACAATCGATCAGATGTTAGGAGAATCGAGTAGGAAGCAAGCAAGAAGGAAATGTAAGATAACACTATTCTTCCTCGTTTTCTCCACAGCAATTTATTTCCAATGTTCGTCTGATGTCACAAAGACGATAATCGTTTCTTATTCTCGAAGTCGGTAACAACAGTTTTTTCCCTGAGGCCACACTTTACCTATCTTAACACCGACATATTGAGGGAGCGAACAACTCAACAGCAAAGATTCTATTGCAGCTTTCAATCACTGCGAAGTAACAAACTTAGAGTACTCATACGAGGCATCTCTTGGCACAGACCCTTAAAGTGAATATTGTGTCACGGCAGCGAAGACTAACAATAAGACAACACTGGAAGCAGAGGATACCACAATCTCTCATCGATTTTCGAGGCAAAAATAAAACAATGAGCTGAATGTTTCGGCTTTCTATCTACTCTCGACGTTTCAAAACCCGTGTCACTGAAGACGAAAGTCAGATCTTGTCACTCGTCTTTCCCATCTACAGTGTATCTTTGCTGTCACCTTGACTTCATCGATTTCCTTCTTGATTCGTCCCACTAATTCTTTTATGGGCTTCATGCGAGCTTCGAATTCACTGCTTTTCTTATTGGATGATCCTACTGCTTTTCCGGCACGTTTCCGTACCGTCGTAAGCGCTGCAGTCTCATCTTCACTATGACGGGAGCTGCTTATATGAACGTCCTTACGCCTTCATTTCTGATCTGTTTCTATCGCATCCAACCACTGGAACATCCAAGCATCTTAATTTTAGAGCAGTAAGGCTGTCTTTCATGTTTTTTAGTTACGGGAACTTTTTCAACTTTACCATCATTGACTGTACGCCACCAGATTCGTACCATTACCTTCTAAGAGGCACATGATGCAAGAGTAGCGGTTGAATTTGTCAGCAACCTATTCATTGAAAGCATTGATTACCGATCAGCGGTGAACAATCGGTTGGCAGCTTCAGTGCAGGAGATACGATCCTTCAAAGTTACACATCATCGTCTCGCAGTTTTTTGGGGCATGAAGAGAACCATTCATTATAATTTGCTAAACGCAGACTAGAGTGTCATCGCTGTCTAGTCTGCGTTTAGCCCCTATGAGCCTCAGCATTCGGCCAGCGCGACTAGAGGAAAACATCCAAATCCATGACTTAAGTCTTTAAATAACAACATACATCGAATTCACTCCAAACTGAAGTCAAAGTTAACCAGATTCACAGCGAACGCGATGATTGTCGTCAAGCAGATAGCCGACGACAGGGCAGAACCTCTACCTCCGCGACTCGCACTCCTCGCCGCGATCGTGAAGGTGGGGACGACAGAAGCAGAAGCCGTCAGGACAGTCGGCGTCACGAGAGAAGGCGACATCGTGAGGACGGTAGCCGTTACGCAGAGGATGAGATTCACGACCCAAGTTCCTAGCATCGTGTTCGCCTCCCGGTTCTCTATATTTTTTTCACTTTATTTGATAATCCTATTTGTTCATCCTATATGTGTGACTCATTTGCTCATTTGTAACTGTTCTTAACGTTATCACCTGACTGATCTGTGGCTCAAAAGGGCAAAACGTTTACTGTTCGGAGCACTGCACGCTTTATCTGTGAGCTTCATCTCAACTCCGCTCATATGCCGTATAAATAGCGGCCAGCAGCTCTCAAGTTTCAGTTAGCCTCCTTTTCTTGCCTCCACATCACTACGCTCATCCTCATCTCTTCAAGTTTGCCTGTGAATCGTACGTGCAATAAATTTTGTGTGTGAAGAGGCTGTGCGTACTGACGAAAGGACCCGCGTGACACGACAGACGAGCGGACACTCTAACGAATCCCGCTTAGTGTTTAACTTCTGCCTCCATCTTTCCAACGGACATGTCTGCTTTTCGACCTTTTGTTTGGAGCAGGATTAATATTTTGTTCCCAAAAAAATAGTACAAGTCACTGTCACGGAGTTAAATCAGAATATGACTGTTCTTACGCTAAGTATTGCCTAATCGTTGCGAAGAGGTATTTGCTGACATTTGCAATAATCTCAGGACTACAATCTCATCATTCTAGAAAGAAGTCATTTTTGGCTGAAGAGAAGAGCACTAAGCTGTAGCACATTAGCTCTCAACAGGAACGATAAGGAGGTCAATGGGTTTTTCTCTAAAATTCTGATGACCAGTAGCACGACAGGTGATACAGTTGATAGTACGTGATAGTGCGTGTGAATAACGGGTTTTGCTTGATCTCTGAGCAATGCACTTCTACCCCTCAGCCTCAGATGTTTGGTAAGGGTATTGTTTTTTCTTGGTTCCGGTAGCAATTCCTACTGAATTCACACTACTTCATCTGAAAATCTCGTCAATTGGCTCCTATTCATGAATATTGGAATCGCCCTTGCCATATCCTCACTACCCGGCCGCCACCTGGACGAGACCACCCGTGCACGGACTTCACACAGGACCACTATAAAACGAGCCAGATACCGTCAACTTTGCCCCTCTACACGTCTCGTGCGTCTAGCTCTGCGTAGAGCGCCCATCGCATCGGCTCTGGCCGACCTGTGCTGGCCTCCCCTCGATCCCGTCTTATTTAATGTAAAATATATCGATAAAGCATGTATCATACCCGTTGTCACCCCACACATGAACTCACGTCCCGCTACATCAGCAGTTGTATGCCTCGCGAACCTATAATCTGATACACTTCTCAAAGACACAGTTTACGACGATTTCGAAATACCCCTCTAAGGTTAAGAAACGAAAGTATTGGTGGACAGTAATGCACCAGTGACGAAGTAAGCGAGAAAATCAGTCGACACAGCAGAAAACAAGGCTTTCAAAGAGTAGAGGGAACAGAGCTTCGAGATCGCCATGACCAAAGTAGTGTAACAGTAGTACTCGAACGAGATTTCAGTCGTTGTGGTTTCTTGAAGAGCTGGCCTTTCTCGATCCTTTTTTAAAGTCATACTGCTTGGGCTGATTCGAGCAGCCACATTTGTTTCAAATGAAACTGTTACAACACTACTATTAATGAATCTTCAAACAAGTGATGTTCGGAATCGGGGTCGCATCCCAACCTCCACATAAAACGTAAGCCCCGGAACAAACCACTGGTCTCCAGCATTCAATAGTTTGATAATTGCTGGCCTCCATGGCTACTGTTATGAGTCATGATCTGATGCTCGTGATGTTAAGAACAACCATCCATTATGGATCTGACTATCACGCTGCTGGGACAACTGGAGCCGCGACTAGACCTTAAGAGCAAGACATCTACTGCTTTGTTCATCCACTGCTACAAAATTAGGGCCACTAGGCGATAGGATTCGCGACTCAATGAATGGTCACGATCCTCTTCATTCCAGGGACTCTCCACTAATGGCCTCTGCCTATAAAGTAATCATTGAGCCATAGATAACAACTGTTAGTGGTCTTCATCGGTCGGCAAAACTAATAAAAACTGTTCAGTCGACTGATTTGGTGCTGTTATATCAAGCGATAACACGGGTTTGTAGATTAAAACGCCACTTTTTGCAGGCGTTTCTACCAAACAGATATATTCTTTGACGTTTTCGTGTTAATATTGGCGCTAGAACTCGACATCGCGGCACGCAAGAAACTGTGAGCTTTTTGGATTACGGCTAAACACCCTCAATGAACACGAAGGAGAAATATGTGTTCATCGCCCGCGAACTCGTTCCATACGTTGACCTTCGTGACCCTTGATCTACGATAACGTCACTGGAAGGTACTCTGGTTATTTCTAATTAACGTTGGTACGGCTCTCCTATCTTAGCGACGGACTTCGAGGAGTCTACTCGAAGAGTCTTGGAGGTTGAGAGGTGTTGGAGCGAACACGCCACATATGTTTCACTATAGGCTCTGTCGAAGGCGGAGCTGCCGACAGAGCCTGAAATGGACACATATGTGGCGTGCTCGCTAAAACAAGAATCATTTTTACTCAACGAATCATGCTAAGATTGCAAGAAGGTAGAACATGGAGTCACACTACCCCGATCTCATTGCATAAAACATCCTGAGCTACTGCGTCAAGGCTGCAACGTAAATAAAATGGCAAAGTAGCTTCTGTCTAATATGAAGCATTTCTTTCTGGATTTACTTATAGACAACCACTTAGATAGTTTCTGTGTTCCCCTCTCCCACCTTCTCCAACCCCAATTCCTCCACAAAGCTTGTACAAGCTTTCGCTTCTGTACTTTCAAAAACCGTGATCTCCTTGTCACCCGAACATCCGACCATCTCAGGAACTGGTCTCTAACGATGCAATTACGGCTTCACAGAGTTTTCCTACGACTTCCTGTGAGCGGATTTGAGTTATTTTGACTTGGATCTTCAAAAACGTCTAGGTGTGTAAGACAGGCAGTTTTAGTTGACTATCCTGACTGACTGTTTAGCCTTCTAGGAAGCTCACTGGGTAGATCAGTATCGACGAATCAAGTGAGGCACACAGGTGCGTTGGTTCCCTTATGGGTCAGTTCCCTCCCTGAAACTAGTGGATCTTCTTATCCATATTTACTCGACGCATGGAATAACTTCCTCTCTACTTCCGTTGAACGCTTACTGCGCTCAGCGATGATCAATCCCCACTTGAATTACGCCATTCAACCTTCATTCAGAGTTGCTTTGACATCGGAATTCCGGACTAATACAATCTTTGGCTTACAAGATAACCTAGATACAATCTCATCTTTTCTCTCATCATCTAATCTTTTACCATTGAAATTTTATGTCAATCTACTGTTTCCCTCTAAAACTATATGTATTGTACTCGATCTACTTGTTTGTTATTCCTCGACTTTCGCCTGCAAGGCTTATGCAAAAGTAGCTACAACTTTCAAATAACACGTACTACCAGGTGGGAGAGGCTCAAAAACACTGATGGATCCTTATTGGCCCTTCTCAGCTATCGTGGAGCGCGAGTTCAAGAAAGGTTATGCGAAGGCTACGTGACTATGCGAAAAAGGATTCCGGCGATTTTACTCAAGTTAGTGGCGATCGATTTTTGATCCCTGGGGATTTGCCGCCTATTACGTGATTTCCAGAACTTTAAGGGGCATCCTTGGACTTTGTACCCTGGGTGGTACAAGAGGCGCTACACGTGAGGTCGAGCCCTTTTTTTGCTCTTTGCATTTTATTGATCGTTTTGTGTTCCGTTGTTACTTGTCTCTGATGAATTATTATTCTACAACTATCCGGACAGCGACCACCTTGATGCGACATCGATAGTACATATAATTGAATAGCCTTATATTGATTATCTGTAGTACCCGCGTGCCTTTTATGCATCAGTGAAATCTTTTATGGTGCATCGGGAATCGACAAATGAGCCGGAGATTTCACTGAAGCAAATATTATACTCCTTGTGCGTTTTGAATTCTTTTCGTTTTTTTTTCTGATTTTCCTCTTATACTTTTTTTGCAAAATTCTGTGGATGCGCATACTACGCGAGTCCTCATTATGAGATGAATGGCGCTGATACTTCGCGATCCCAGAAAGCTCAACTAACAAGGTATAAGAACACGCTGCGTTGGGTGATGACGGAACATGGTCCCGCCTTAACAACGGAGAATGCAATGCGCCTAAAACCTTAGTAGAGGCAATAACGGCTCAGGAAAGTGTGAACCTCTTGACGAATACCCTTAACGGTTTCGTTCAAACAGACCAGCTTGTGGGACCCACAATAGAAGCCAACAGAGAGCCAACAAAATTACATTGACGAAATCGTGGCCGCTCTCCAGGAAGCAGAAAACCTACTGATCCGCATGGAAGCCAAGAAGGCAGGGCTCCAGTGGGTGACCCCGAAGTGGGACTACTTAATATACCCATACCTATGATGGGAAAATGAGCGAGTTTGAGAATTTCTGGGCGTTATTTCGCCCAAACTTCCATGAGCAAAATTACGGTGAGTTAAAAAAATTCAACTGTCTCTTACAAGCCTTAAAAGATAGTGCGAAAGACCCATTAAGGAGGTATCCCGTCACTGAAGAGCGGCAGCGCTTGAACTGTTGCAATCCAAATATGGCGATAAAGCAAAATTGGTGCGAAATCTTCACAAGCGAATGGAAACTGATATCCTTGACGGCGCAGATGGGACAACAAGAAGTCCTCATGGATTCCTTCATTGCGCAAAAAGTACTATCGAAATTCAATGTCGACTTGCAGCAACAATTATTAAAGCAAGAGTCAATCAGGATTACAAGGAAGATAGTTGGTCGGTGGACGACCTTCTGAGCGAGCTGGATGCTCTGATAAAAACTGAAGGGCGGCTGAAATGATTCAGAAGAACGACCCCTCCAAATAAAGAGCATCAAGTGCAACAGAGCCGAAATTCAACAGAGCTGATACCGCGATGTGTTTACTGCGCGGAGCCGGCCATAACGTCCTGCGCTGGCCGAAAATTCTGACCATAGAGAACAGGAAAAAATTCATAAGTAAAAAAACTATGTATGAACTGTGCAAAGCGCAACCTTGTGAGAATGCACCATGAGCGGATGCGTCAGGTGTGATGGTGCAAAGCACTACCTTTCCCTCTGTCTCAAAAGACTACAGGAAGTGAAGGAGACATCAGCGGGAGCATGTCAGCAAAGAAGCTCCAATACGGTGCCGCTGTCCAAACGGGGACGGC